TCCTAATTAACATCATCTCCACATAATCACCAGCAGCACTCAGTAGCAGCACATGTGCATATAGTACACAAGTAATCCTATATCCTAATTAACATCATCTCCACATAATCACCAGCAGCACTCAGTAGCAGCACATGTGCATATAGTACACAAGTAATCCTATATCCTAATTAACATCATCCCCACATAATCACCAGCAGCACTCAGTAGCAGCACATGTGCATATAGTACACAAGTAATCCTATATCCTAATTAACATCATCTCCACATAATCACCAGCAGCACTCAGTAGCAGCACATGTGCATATAGTACACAAGTAATCCTTGATCCAAATTTTAAACTGTATCAATGTTGGTAGGTAGTCTAATTAAGATATTTATGCAGTTTATACCAGGATGATGGGCAAAAAAAATTAAAGGCACTTTCACCGAAAACAGTCTGCGTTCGAGGAATGTTATAAATTATTTGCCAATATGATTGAAGATTACATTCCCCGGTAGTGACTTTAGGAGTCAGAAGAGAACATAAATAAGGAGGCTGTGGTCCTGGTCAGCTGTGGTGAGTACCAACTGACAGTGGTCCTGGTCAGCTGTGGTGAGTACCAACTGACAGTGGTCCTGGTCAGCTGTGGTGAGTACCAACTGACAGTGGTCCTGGTCAGCTGTGGTGAGTACCAACTGACAGTGGTCCTGGTCAGCTGTGGTGAGTACCAACTGACAGTGGTCCTGGTCAGCTGTGGTGAGTACCAACTGACAGTGGTCCTGGTCAGCTGTGGTGAGTACCAACTGACAGTGGTCCTGGTCAGCTGTGGTGAGCACCATTTATCCTGGGAAGTGATGGCACCAGGATGCACTGCGGGAAGACAACAAGCCAGAGGAGGTTATGTGATGCTTTGGACAGTGTTCCCATGGGAACCCTGTGTGTTTGACACAAGCCTAAACATTGATGCAGACTAGGCCACACTGCACATATTGTTCATGAATGGTTTGAGGAATATGATGAAGTGTTCATGGTCTTACCCTGACCTCCAAATTCCCCAGATTTCAATCAGATTGACAAGTCTGATCCACTGCAGCTCCACCGCACAACTTACAGCACCAGAAGTATCTGCTGGTAATGTCTTGGTGCCAGATACCTCAGGACACCTTTAGGGGTCTGCTGGTAATGTCTTGGTGCCAGATACCTCAGGACACCTTCAGGGGTCTGCTGGTAATGTCTTGGTGCCAGATACCACAGGACACCTTCAGGGATCTGCTGCTAATGTCTTGGTGCCAGATACCACAGGACACCTTCATGGATCTGCTGGTAATGTCTTGGTGCCAGATACCACAGGACACCTTCATGGATCTGCTGGTAATGTCTTGGTGCCAGATACCACAGGACACCTTCAGGGATCTGCTGGTAATGGCTTGGTGCCAGATACCTCAGGACACCTTCAGGGATCTGCTGGTAATGGCTTGGTGCCAGATACCTCAGGACACCTTTAGGGCTTTGTCTCACAAAGAAAGAAGATCATTTAACGCTAATTGCAGACACTGCAGACAATGACAGTGCTCTGGTCCAATGGGAACAAGTAGCCAAGGGGGACAATGCCTTTTTCCCTGAGGGGGCGGCTGTCCTATACTTAGTTTAACAATGCTCCTGTGGGGGGGAAAGGGTCTCTGAAGGGGGGTTTGTTTCTTAATGTGCATGTCATGCATAGCCTTTCACTATATCTCCACCAGCTGAAATGTCACTGCCTACTCGTAATGGCTGCAATCAATCTCGCCAGAGTTAAATGAAATGGGAATAATCTCACCAGGTGATCAATTAAGCCAAACCTCCCATGAGTCTGAGTTAATGCATAACGAACACACTGCCTGTAGACCCATATGGGTAGCTTGCATTACAAAGAGCACACAAATCTAAATGTACCGAAACACCTGTTTTGCTAGTGGCAAGAAATTCACAAACACCACGTGTATTGAAAATATATTATCTGTGCAATGACACACAGTTGCATATCATAAAATGGATTCTTATAATGTTAACACAAGTGAACAATACTGCAATAACACAGATCAAATGCATTGGAGGAAGTTAACGTACCAATTTTTCCAATGTATGTGTTGATTAAGGTAGGGGCGTACTAATTTCTCCAGATAAAGAAATAGCATTCTGTTTATTTTCTTTGCATAAATGGTTTCAAAGATAATTTTTGTCTGTGTTTTTGTTATTTGTTTTACCATTATGAATGACTATGGTTGAGCTCAAACGTCCTTGTGTCCAAATATTTAAAAAAGACTTTAAGGCTATAATGAACATCTGTCAAACATTGGTTATAATGGATAAGAAAAACATGGAACATGAAAGAGAAAAATGTTAATGGGACGAGAGCATGTAAATAAGGTCAAGCCAAGACTGCAGATCTGTCTTTATACTCAAAAGCATGTTTTGGGTTAAAGCTGCACTAGGTATGATTTTGAAAAAAAACTCAAAATTTAAGAAACAGACCTCTTCCAATTTTTCCCGGTTTTTCCCTACTCCCCCAGACTGAGTTTGACAGCTCTGTCTTTCCAAATCATATTTAACTAAACATAAATAAAGTGCATGTTGGTGTAGCTCATACCTAAAACATAAAGAAAGTGCAAACTCCATGTCCAATGTGTAATTCTTTGGGTTTTACCCAAGCTAACGTTAGCATTGCAGCGCTGGGAGCTACCTATTGTTAGCTAATCAAATACTAAGTCCCATTCGTATAATAATGTGAATAAGTCAATTTTCCTGTCCAGAAGATTTAGATCTTATACACTACAATGATTTTATCTGGCTTGCAACACAACAATACAACAGTGAATAGTATACTTTTCTTAAAGTTAGTAAAGCATGTAAATGTATTTTATTTCGCTGAGCTTTAAGTCTGCCCTTGACAGATTGTAATGTATACATACACTATTTTAATTGCTGTCTGCTGTGGGTCATCATTCATCTCATTATTCTCACTCTATATGTTACACTTAATTATCAAATATAATAATTCTGTAAATCAAATTTGTCCCATGCTGACATATTGTGAGAAATAATAATAAATAATAATGGATGGGAATGGTGATAGAAAGATGCTACAGTATGAAGATAATAAGTACTCTTCCAATAGAAATCCATCATTGGGAAACGGAAGAAGATTGGAACCACAATGACTCTTTCAAGAGTCCGGCCAAACTAAGATACCAGTCACGGAGGAGACCGACAACCCAATGACTACGGAAATAGGTTCAGAGTTTCTCTATAAACCTGCCAGAAAGACACCAATAGTTGCAGTAATCTGAACTTAACTGTAGCAGTTGGTGTAGCTCAGTGGTAGAGTGCATGTTGGTGTAGCTCAGTGGTAGAGTGCATGTTGGTGTAGCTCAGTGGCAGAGTGCATGTTGGTGTAGCTCAGTGGTAGAGTGCATGTTGGTGTAGCTCAGTGGTAGAGTGCATGTTGGTGTAGCTCAGTGGTAGAGTGCATGTTGGGTGTAGCTCAGTGGTAGAGTGCATGTTGGTGTAGCTCAGTGGTAGAGTGCATGTTGGTGTAGCTCAACTGCATGTGCTCAGTATGTTGGTATAGCTCAGTGGTAGAGTGCAGTGGTGTAGCTCAGTGCATGTTGGTGTAGCTCAGTGGTAGAGTGCATGTTGGTGTAGAGCATGTTGGTGTAGCAGTGGGTAGAGTGCATGTTGGTGTAGCTCAGTGGTAGAGTGCATGTTGGTGTAGCTCAGTGGTAGAGTGCATGTTGGTGTAGCTCAGTGGTAGAGTGCATGTTGGTGTAGCTCAGTGGTAGAGTGCATGTTGGTGTAGCTCAGTGGTAGAGTGCATGTTGGTGTAGCTCAGTGGTAGAGTGCATGTTGGTAGAGTGCATGTTGGGTGTAGCTCAGTGGTAGAGTGCATGTTGGTGTAGCTCAGTGGTAGTTGGTGTAGCTCAGTGTGCATGTTGGTGTAGCTCAGTGGTAGAGTGCATGTTGGTGTAGCTCAGTGGTAGAGTGCATGTTGGTGTAGCTCAGTGGTAGAGTGCATGTTGGTGTAGCTCAGTGGTAGAGTGCATGTTGGTGTAGCTCAGTGGTAGAGTGCATGTTGGGTGTAGCTCAGTGGTAGAGTGCATGTTGGGTGTAGCTCAGTGGTAGAGTGCATGTTGGTGTAGCTCAGTGGTAGAGTGCATGTTGGTGTAGCTCAGTGGTAGAGTGCATGTTGGTGTAGCTCAGTGGTAGAGTGCATGTTGGGTGTAGCTCAGTGGTAGAGTGCATGTTGGGTGTAGCTCAGTGGTAGAGTGCATGTTGGTGTAGCTCAGTGGTAGAGTGCATGTTGGTGTAGCTCAGTGGTAGAGTGCATGTTGGTGTAGCTCATTGGTAGAGTGCATGTTGGTGTAGCTCAGTGGTAGAGTGCATGTTGGTGTAGCTCATTGGTAGAGTGCATGTTGGTGTAGCTCAGTGGTAGAGTGCATGTTGGTGTAGCTCAGTGGTAGAGTGCATGTTGGTGTAGCTCAGTGGTAGAGTGCATGTTGGTATAGCTCAGTGGTAGAGTGCATGTTGGTGTAGCTCAGTGGTAGAGTGCATGTTGGGTGTAGCTCAGTGGTAGAGTGCATGTTGGTGTAGTTCAGTGGTAGAGTGCATGTTGGTGTAGCTCAGTGGTAGAGTGCATGTTGGTGTAGCTCAGTGGTAGAGTGCATGTTGGTGTAGCTCAGTGGTAGAGTGCATGTTGGTGTAGCTCAGTGGTAGAGTGCATGTTGGTGTAGCTCAGTGGTAGAGTGCATGTTGGTGTAGCTCAGTGGTAGAGTGCATGTTGGTGTAGCTCAGTGGTAGAGTGCATGTTGGTGTAGCTCAGTGGTAGAGTGCATGTTGGTGTAGCTCAGTGGTAGAGTGCATGTTGGGTGTAGCTCAGTGGTAGAGTGCATGTTGGTGTAGCTCAGTGGTAGAGTGCATGTTGGTGTAGCTCAGTGGTAGAGTGCATGTTTTGTATGTATGATGTCCTGGGTTCGTATTGGAGGAGATGGTATCTCAGTGGTAGAGTGCATGTTTTGTATGTATGATGTTCTGGGTTCCTATTGGAGGAGATGGTATCTCAGTGGTAGAGAGCATGCTGTCCTGGGTTCAATCCCTAGCTTATCCCCAGGTCGCTGTTTCAAATGACAACTTATTCTCAATCGGCCTACCTGGTTAATTAAAGGTTAAATAACTAAATACTGTAGATGGAGGTGCAAGACGAAGATACTCCTGAGGAAAAGGTATGTGACATTACATTTGTTTTTACTATTTGGGCAGAATAACATACAATAAAGTACCACTCATTCCCAGGCGAGTACCATCTGGACAATGGTGGTGGGAGCATCATGATATGGGTATGATTCTCAGCGCCAGAGATTGGTTGACTGTTCAGGATGAGTAAAGAAATTACAAATTACAAAGACATCCTTAAAGAGTACAGAGAACACAGGACCTCAGACTGGGTCAAAGTTTGACCTTTCAGCAGACAGCCAAGACAGCTCTAGATTGGCTTCCAGACAACTCTGTTATTGTCCTTTAGTTGGCCCAGACAAAGCCCCGAAACCAGTTGATCTGAGAACAGACGTGAAGATCATATTTCTCTGATGCTCCCTATCCGATCTGACAGAGCTTGATAGGAGCACAAAGCCGTGATCACAAACCAAAACATTGACACTTGTGTACATTAGGAATTAGAGCTGTTCAATTAAGTCAATTCATGATTTTTGCTGAGTGACAATAACTTATATTTATGTTTCAGCTTCTTTTAAGGCTTGCATTTATGATGCAAACAAACACGTGTGCCAAGTAAAGCACAGCTGTATGGCCAGTAAAGTCAGAAGTACATAACATGTTATTATTTTGAATTGGTTTAACCCATATGGATAAATGTATAAAACATACCTGCAGATGAAAGCTGGTAGTCTGTACCATAACATAGCGCTCAATGCACAAACGTATGCTTAATTTTGATAGGAAGTATTCTCTGACAAGCACAGGACGTCTGTATTCTCTGATGAGCACAGGACGTCTGTATTCTCTGATCAGCACAGGACGTCTGTATTCTCTGATGAGCACAGGGCGTCTGTATAATCTGATGAGCACAGGACGTCTGTATTTTCTGATGAGCACAGGACATCTGTATTCTCTGATGAGCACAGGATGTCTGTATTCTCTGATGAGCACAGGACGTCTGTATTCTCTGATGAGCACAGGACGTCTGTATTCTCTGATGAGCACAGGATGTCTGTATTCTCTGATGAGCACAGGACGTCTGTATTCTCTGATGAGCACAGGACGTCTGTATTCTCTGATGAGCACAGGACGTCTGTATTCTCTGATGAGCACAGGACGTCTGTATTCTCTGATGAGCGCAGGACGTCTGTATTCTCTGATGAGCACAGGACGTCTGTATTCTCTGATGAGCACAGGACGTCTGTATTCTCTGATGAGCACAGGACGTCTGTATTCTCTGATGAGCACAGGATGTCGGTAAAGAGTTCTTAGGTGCAGTGACTATTATTACAGCAACTGTTAGCCTAGTCGTCATGTCAGGAGTTGTTCTATAGTTTATTGTTAACCTGCTTTATCAGACCACTCCCCCCAAACAATAACATCTGGTACACAATCATTAAACTGGGATCATTGACATCACTCCCTCCCATATGGAGATATTCCTGCATGTGCTTGAGAAGCAGGTTTGGCCGTACACACCAGCCTGGATGCCTATCTCTGTTTACAGGTGAAATAGCAGGCCTTGTTTACGCACATCACTACCTATTTCTGTGTAGAGTGCTTACCAAGAAAAAGCTGGAATCATGCGAGTGACACCTTTCTTGGATCACTCGACAAATTAATGCTGAATCTCAGCTTTGATTGTTAAGTTAAGCGGGTTATATTTAGGGTTGCCACCCGTCCCTTAAAATACGGAATCGTCCCGTATTTGAGAATAAAATAGCGCTTCCCGTTTTGAATCAATACGGGACGGGGGTTGTCCCGTATTTCTGAGTTGTCTCAATGAATGCATCTCTCAATGCAAATAATCCCACCGGCATTCTGTGAAGACTCGTCCTATTCTGCCCCTGATTGGGTAATACTCGCGACTGCCATTGTTGAAGTGATTGGTTTGTTTCAGGGTCACGGCCAATCAGAGTCAGAAGAGGGCGGGTCTCTATACATCGAATCATGTTATGGTATGATTGGTTGATAACACTTTACAATAAGATTACTTTGTTAAACATTAGTTAATGTATTATTAACCAACATGAACTAACAATGAGTAATACATTCATTTGTATTTATTAATCTTTGTTAATGTTAGTTAATAGAAATAAAGCTGTTCATTGTTTGTTCATGTTAGTTCACATTGAATTAACTAATATTAACAAGATTTGTATAAAGTATTAGTAAATGTAGAAATTACATTAACAAAGATGATCTGTTAATTTAATTATTTTATTTTAAGTTAATAAAATATGGTTCACATCTCATAAGTTCCTCCAAATGCCTATTTTTTGTGGTCTTACTGTCAAACCCATGTTTAATCTTAATATTTGTATTAAAACATGTATTAAGTTGGGATTTACCACTACTGGCACGTCATCGGACACCCCCCATACCCCCCCACGCGGCAGGCGTCCCTTATTTTTCTGTATTAAAGGTGGCAACCCTAGTTATGGTTGATGGAATTTCTGCTAACCAGCTAACTCGCACTACTTTCTTCCTCAAATAAATAGAGTTCAAGGTACATGAGCCAATTGTTTGTATTTTTGTCAACATGGTCTCTTCGATACCTTAATTTGTTGTGTCGTGAACGTTGACTGTAACTCTTGGTTACGTATTTCTACTCTACCATCCATTCAGTCACTACCTCTTTGCATTTTGCTGATAAGGGCTTTTGCCCAGCAAACTGGGAACTCTCAAGGACATATGGTGTTAGTAGAAGTCATTATACTAATGTTTTGAAAATGTTCTAGGCACATTAATAATGTTGCCTCCAGACCATAAGAGACGTTCAGTACAGGCCCTGGTTTTGGCCGGAATATTGTTATTTTAGTGAACATTAGGGAATGTTACAAATTATTCCTATGTGGTTCCAGTACATTAGCCACAATATGTGTAGTTCCCTTCACAACAGGAGGTTTTCAGGTAACCGGAACTTAATTGAAAACTATGACTAACAAGAAACACTGGGCAGCTAGATTTCTTTTTACAATCCACCTTCCACTGACCTTAAACAAAGCCACTGTGTCTCTGTACGCTGATGACTCAACATTATACATGCTAAAAGGATAAAGGACACAACTAAACCCATGAACATGGTACTGCAGTCGGTTTTGGGGTAGGTCACTAGCAACAAAAATAAATGAATTTAGAACAAACCATTTGCTCAACCCTAAGATTGTTAGATCTAGTACTAAATTATGCAAATAATGTAGATCTAGAACCAAAGCAGGCTACACTGTTGGGTGCCACTGGTACGCTGATCTGATATGCTGACATGGTACGCTAATGTGGTACGCTGATCTGATACGCTGACATGGTACACTGAGCTGGTACGCTGATCTGGTACGCTGATCTGATACGCTGATCTGATGCTGATCACTGATCTGATACGCTGATCTGATACGCTGATCTGGTACGCTGATCTGGTACGCTGATCTGGTACGCTGACATGATCTGATCTGGTACGCTGATCTGATCTGGTACGCTGACATGGTACACTGATCTGATACACTGCTGACATGGTACACTGATCTGGATCTGGTACGCTGATCTGGTACGCTGATCTGATCTGTACGCTGACATGGATCTGGTACGCTGATCTGATCTGGTACGCTGACATGGTACGCTGATCTGGTACGCTGATCTCGCTGATCTGGTACTGATCTGGTACACTGATCTGGCTGACACTGATCTGGTACGCTAATGTGATCTGTACGCTGATCTGCTGACATGGTACGCTGATCTGGTACGCTGACGCTGATCTGGTATCTCGCTGATCTGGTACACTGATCTGATCTGATCGCTAATGTGGTACGCTGATCTGGTACGCTGATCTGGTACGCTGATCATCTGGTACGCTGATCTGGTACGCTGATCTGGTACGCTGACATGGTACGCTGATCTGGTACGCTGACATGGTACACTGATCTGGTACACTGATCTGGTACGCTAATGTGGTACACTGATCTGGTACGCTAATGTGGTACACTGATCTGGTACGCTAATGTGGTACGCTGATCTGGTACGCTGATCTGGTACGCTGATCTGGTACACTGATCTGGTACGCTGATCTGGTACGCTGATCTGGTACGCTGACATGGTACGCTGATCTGGTACGCTGACATGGTACACTGATCTGGTACGCTGATCTGGTACGCTGATCTGGTACGCTAATGTGGTACGCTGATCTGGTACGCTGATCTGGTACGCTGATCTGGTACGCTGATCTGGTACGCTGACATGGTACGCTGATCTGGTACGCTGATCTGGTACGCTGATCTGGTACGCTGATCTGGTACACTGATCTGGTACACTGATCTGGTACGCTAATGTGGTACACTGATCTGGTACGCTAATGTGGTACGCTGATCTGGTACGCTGATCTGGTACGCTGATCTGGTACGCTAATGTGGTACGCTGATCTGGTACGCTGACATGGTACGCTGATCTGGTACGCTGACATGGTACGCTGATCTGGTACGCTGACATGGTACACTGATCTGGTACACTGATCTGGTAGGCTGATCTGGTACGCTAATGTGGTACGCTGATGTGGTACACTGATCTGGTACTCTGATCTGGTACACTGATCTGGTACGCTGATCTGGTACGCTGATCTGGTACACTGATCTGGTACACTAATGTAGTACACTGATCTGGTAAACTGATCTGTTTGCGTTACAAGTGAAGGGGACATTGACATCACTCCTCCCTAAAAGAGTGCTCCCTGCAGGGGAGGAGAGAGCAGGGTCGGCCCTACACATCTACACCAGCCTGATTCCTATCTCTGTTTACAGGTGAAATAACAGGCCTTGTTTACGCACATCACTAGCTATTTCGGTCCACTCTACAGTCCATTCACTAAGACTCTCCTTGCTATATCTCCGCAGATGATCTGTCTAAA